CCTAAACCCTAAACCCTAACTAGGTTAAGGCCCGCATATCACCCAGATCCTAAAGTTTTGGGCCCGAGGTCTTCGGATCTCGAAACAAGAATATACCAAAACCTACACCCAAACCCTAAACCCTAACCCTAAACCCCTGAAAGTATAGTGTGATCATGGATTGGCTTTGAGGAGTCCTCCTTAACTATCTCTGGGTATGTAGCCTGCCCTAAACCCTAAACCCTAAACCCTAAACCCTAAACCCTAAACCTTCCTCAAGCTTCGATAACGAGACTCGGGCTCTTTCAAGCGGGTTTCTACAATGGGCTTCCAAAAGGGCTTCTTACCTGTGACCCCAAACCCTACAACATCGTAGGTTCTGACCCCTTAATTAGAGGGTAGAACCCATAAAACCTTTAGAGTCCCAGGTATCAGAAGATCAAGGAAGGTTGCAAGGACTCGTACTGCAAGACTTTTCGGGCACAAGGACAATGCACTATCTAAAGCTTTCGGGCTATTTCGCGCCTTCTCGTAAGCCTGAAAGCCTCAAGGCAACCAACAAGCCTTCACGCAGCACGAAGAACACCTGCAAAACCGTGAAAACACCTACATTGAGGGTTACTTTTTCTGGCTTCCTGATATAGCTCCTACTCAAACAAATAGGTTTTGTGGGTTTGAGGTAGAATTTCAGGAAACCCTAAACCCTAACCCGAATTTCAGAGGTTTTACCATAACCAGCCTGTACTGTCGCACGCGACGGAGACGTCGCACGGCACGTTCGCCACCGAATTCGGCAACTCCACCTTCGTTGGGTCGGATTCAGGGTTTAGGGTTTAGGGTTTAGGGTAGGGCTATACTCGGAGGGTCATGAGACTTAGTAACTGGGGTTATAAATAAGGTAACTATACTTATAAGTAACTTTTATCCCCCAATTAAGGTAGTTATAGCCTTACTTACTAAGTCCCATGATCCTCCAGGTAGTGGGTTGAAAGCTCCTTGCAGGCTCTTTGCAGCTTTTGGTTTCGGGGTGTAGGAGTCAGGGCCAGGTGTTTAGGGGCTTACACGCTAAACCCTAAACCCTAAACCCTAAACCCTAAACCCTAAACCCTGGAGGCTTGGGGCTGCGTGGTTCCGTCGTCTGTTCGAAGGCTTCAATATGGGTAATTCTGCTTGTGGACTCAGGCGCCACTTTAGCCGAAAGGTCGTGGGTTTAGGGTTTAGGGTTTAGGGTTTAGGGTCGTGAATCGCAGCGACTTTAGGTACACTGCATTGGTCAAAAGATCGGCGCTGGTCTTCTTGTCCTTCGCAATGTGTTAGTACAGCCACCATTCCACGATGATTTGATGGGTCGAAGTTCCAAGCCTGCATGCTAAAATCCCAAACCTTAGATCCCAAATCCCAGAAGCAGTAACCATAGGTCCTGTAGCAAAGCACTGATCAAGCCGAAACACTAAGCACATCAGAGAACCAACACCCTCAACCGAACAGAAACCCTAAACCCTTCAGTACTGATCCTAAACTAAGCCGTTGTGGAACCACCGAAGAATCCTCTGCAAGACCTACTAAGAATAAATAGCAACTGGCCTCTTTCAGAAGAAAAATTGATACTGGGGATGTACATGTGTGTACATTGTATGCACCTTTCTGTTCGGGAGTTCCTAGCGAGGTCGTGTTGGCCTTCCCCCAAACCCTAAACCCAAACACCCTAAACCCTAAACCCCTAAACCCTAAACCGTCTCTCAACCAGATAACACCCAACCCGCTCACTTGGTAGTCTTCAGTTCAACCTAAAAGGGTCGTATCCTAAGCCAAGGCAAAGTTGAGGGTTTAGGGTTTGAGGTAGAGGCATGCATTTCTGATGCTGGTTGTAGCGGTTTAGGTTTTAGGATTGTATTGTAGAGATTCTGACTAAAAGATATTACCCTGCACATTAAGTTGGAAGCCGGACCCACTCTGCAACTAAGTTCTTATTGCGAACACAGTGCAGATATGATACTGTGGAAAGGTTTTGTGGTGGGCACCAAAGCGTGCAAGCACAGTGCACGCAGAGCCGCCCTAAAAGCCACTACACCCCACCTTCTGAGCCTAAGAACCTGCAAACCCTAAATCCGAAACCTAAGCCCTACTTCGCCTCAAACCCGAAACTCCTAAACGATTAACCCTAGACGCCGAAACCCTTTTTGTGCAAAAGGCCTGCGAGAAAGCCAATCAAGAAGATGCCCGCAGCTGCTCCTGAGCTATCAGTGAAGACCTATTCAGCGAGCTTGGCATATATGGTAAACTCCAAAAAGTTGGAAACCGGATTAAGGACAATTAGTGCTGGGATTCCCTATACATTACTCTTAAGGATTGAGGCTATTTGGTTTCCAATTGTTGGGCTTCTACTATAGGGTTTGTGGCTGAGGATTTTCCGTAAGGGTCCTCTGAGTCTTCATGCACCTCGCAGTGTCATAGGAAAAAACTCTATTACGGGGAGATATATGTACGGTCTATTCGGGCAGCAGCAAAAGTGGTTGGGGTGTGGGAGAGGACGGGGCTGGAGGTGCGATTTAGGATTGATTTGAACCGATTAAAGGTGAAGGGTATGTATTGGGCTTTGCTTCAACCGCATTAAACCCTAAACCCTAAACCGATCTGCCTTTTCAGGGTGTTTATATAATGGTTCCTTAGTTTATAAAGGTGTAGTGTCGGCCTACACCCTAAACCCTAAACCGTACAAACCCCATACCACATGAGGACGTGAGCCCTTATCCCCTAAACCCTGCAGGTGGCAAAAGGGGTAGTTCTCTAAATTTTGGTCCCTTGTAGGGCCCTTTTAATGTAAGGGTTTAGGGAAATTTAGGGCATACTATATTTGGGACCTAAAAAGGGACCCTTGATTTAGAGAACTACCCATATAGAACCCTCACCGGAACCCTCTTTAATGCATGGACCACTCGTAGGGTTCCTTCGTGTTCCTGAAAACAGAAGCCAGACTCGTAATAGCTATCAGAATAAGGTGATTATTCACGCAAAAATCCAATCAAACGAAAGGGATATTTTGAGCCTTACGGTGAGTGAACCTTACCGTTGTCAGAGACCCTAGCGACCGCTTAGGGTGTAGGGTTTAGGGTTGCCCTAGTGTTAAGGATTTAATTTAGGGCTTTTGGCCCACCTGCGACCCTCAGACCGAAAAGCCCCAAACCAGCTGCGCACAGACGCTGAAAGATCTGCGTCGTTGCTGAGGAGCTAAGTTTAAACCTGAGAGTGTTTCCTGGAGATTCAACTATACAATTGGAGGAGTTCTATCCTAGATCTATTGGTATATCTTGTAACACGCAAAGGGCTTTCAATAATCCAAAATACCAAGAGTCTTCATGATGGGGCTTTTAAGCATGTGACATTACGAGGACAGCGTTCAAGTTTGAGGTGGTTTTAAGCAACGCATAATGAGGGAAGCATACCAGTTGCCGTATCATCCTAACCCTAAACCCTAAACCCTAAACCCTAAACCCTAAACCCCAAACCCCAAACCAAGCAGTCCCAGGTGCCTGTGAGGGATGGAAGCACAACCCATGGCGACGAGTGCGCCAAGGTCTTCATCAGGTCCTTGTAGCTGTACCTGGTTTAGGGGTTAGGGTTTAGGGTTTTGGTTTAGGGTTTAGGGTTTAGGGTTTAGGGTTTAGGGTTTAGGGTTTAGGGTTTAGGCCCCTTAATTAAGGAATATACCTTAAATCATATTAGTGATCCTATTATAAATTTAAGGTATATTCCTTAACTAAGGGGTTTGGGAGTCTCTGGGTTCAGGCCATGTTCGAGTTGGAAAGGTTGCTTGGCGGTACTAGAAGGTTACTATAAAGATTGCTGTCAGGGGCACGGGGCTTCTGCGCTCGTGCCGACTTACAGTCCCGTTCGGGTTTACGGTTTGGGGTTCAAGAGAAGAAGATGCAAATACATGCAAGCCCCAAAAGGATGCTCAGAATGATTACACGGAAACCCTATTTTTTGGAAACCCCGCCTGACGCAGAATACTGTACTCTGCCTGCTTCCTGGTATAAAGGTCCTAAACTTGCAATTGGACCCCAGGCGAATGCCGAAACGAAGTGTGGCTCGTTTCAGATTAAGAAGACTGTGCCATTGGTAGCCGTTTCTTCCTCAAAACACTGGCGCAGTCAATCCCGTGCATGTAAACTTGCTAAGTCAGTCACAGGCACAAACCCATCCCATCCAACGGTGAGTCTTGCGCAGTCAAGTGACTATTGGTATGAGTCCCCTAAACCACCAAGCGTCCGAAGCACATATGTGGGGGGTATGTACCCAAACCATAAGAGGAATTGCTACTTGTTGAAACCTCCCATTCTACTATGAACCCTAACCCGGAACACTGTACCCTAATATAGGGGCCTTAATAATTAGAACCGAATTCTTGGGCTCATAATACTATACTTATATTCAGGAACCCTCAGAATAGTATTCGTAGTTATTCAGGCCCTTATACCCTAAACCCCCAGTGCACAGGGGTTCCTGTACAGTAGGGCCAAGGCAACAGAAACTCTATGCGAACATCGAAGCTGAACCTACATCAGCCCGAAGCCCGAAACCCCAAACTCTAAACCCCAAGCCCGAAACCCTTAACCCGAAACCCGAAATCCAAAACCCGAAACCCTAAACCCTAAAGCCGAAACCCGAAATCCTAAAGCCGAAACCCGCAACGCTAAAGCCGAAACCGTAGGCTCAAGTAAGGGTTTCAGGTCGCCTAAACCCTAAACCCTAAACCCTAATCCCTAAACCCTAGGGTTTGGGCTCTCTTCTTCGGTCTAAGCTGCGCTGCATCCGTGTTGGGCATCAGCTCCCCAACCTTCTCGAACTTCTTGATGTTGGGGTCGTAGAGGTACCTGGGTAGGGTTTAGGGTTTAGGGGTTTGGGCTGGGGTTCGACTTTGGGGATAAGGAATTCCGGGTCGTAGAGGTCGTTTTGCGTTTGGAGTTTTCCTCGATTTCCCAGGGCTGGCCATCTTTATGCATGCGACACTCTTTCTGAAGCAAGATCCTGTTGAAGACAACCAAACCCGCGGACCTAAACCCTGAACCCCAAAACCCCAAACCCTAAGAAACCCTAAACCCTAAGCAACCCAAAACACCAAAACAGCAAATCCTAAGAAACCCTAAACCCTAAACCCCAAGCAACCCAAAACCCCAAAACAGCAAACCCTAAGAAACCCTAAACCCCAAACCCAAAGCCATGAACCCTAAATCCTGAGCCGGGATCCGAACCGGCGAACACCCGTTTTAGGGTTTAAGGGTTTTCTTTCCGAAGTAAGCCGGAACCCTAAACCCTGAATCCGTGAACCCTAGTTCCCCAATCCCAAATCCTTAACGTAGGATTCGGCTAGGGTTTTGGGGTCCCTTATAGTATACTCATAATAAGGAACCCCCGCAAAATAATGTAGATAATTATTCAGGCCCCTAGATTAAACACCGAACCTGTATCCGAACCCTTAAGACCCCTCCAAAACACAGCGGGCGCTCCCTCTTACGAACCCAACAAAACTTATGAACAGAAGGGCACTCTGCACGGCTCTTCGGCAGAACCCTAGACCCTAAACCCCGAAACCCTATATGCCCTAACCCAAAGGCTCCATGTACCCTTATAGTAGAAACTTTAGCCTTAAAGGGGTCCCCATAAAGGTACTTTGAGGCCTAAGTATATACTATATGGGTACATGGAGCCTTAGGGTAAACCCCGAAACCCTAAAACCCTAAGAAGCTTCGCCCCAGGTGCTGGAAGGCAGGTAACTTGCTTGTCCCGGGCTCCCAGAAGCGGGCCAGGATACTCCTGAGCTTAAACTCTTGGGGCTTAGGGGTGAATTCGGGCGTTGTAGGGAGTTGGGGATGAGGGTGTTATAGGGTGTATTAGTTTAGGGTTGAGGGTTTAGGGTGTGTTGCTGTTGTTGTTTGCCCCAAGTCGGTGGTATAGCCCCTAAACCCTAAACCCTAAACCGTCTTCTCCAGGGTGTGACAGGGCTTCTGACAGAGCTTTAACAAAACTTGCCCTATGATCTGAAGGCGCAAGGAGCCCAGAGACTCCAATACCCCTTAACTAAGGAATATAGTAGACTCCAAAAAGTTGGAAACCGGATGAAGGTCAAATAGTGCTGGGATTCCTTTTACATCACTCTTAAGGATTGAGGCTATTGGGTTTCCAACTTTTGGGCTTCTACTATATACCTTAAATCATATCAGGGATCCTACTATAATTTAAGGTATATTCCTTAATTAACGGATATTGGAGTCTCTGGGAGTGAGGCTGTGGTCCAGGCGCTAGCTGCCAAAACAAGTGTTATCGAAAGTCCGGTCGTGTTCTTTGAATGCAATGCCTCTGCGAGAATGAAGCGGCCCAGTCATCATCGAGACTGTCGAGGGTGAGGTGGCTGTCACAGTTGGGGGCTATAATTATAAGCAGCAGAACCAAGCCTGACCCGAGCTGTTCTCGAACCAGTTGATGCATCCATGCATCCATGCAACCATGCATCTATCCATGCATCTATCCATCCCTCCATCCCTCCATCCCTCCATCCCTCCATCCCTCCACCCCTCCCTCCCTCCATCTTTTCCCTCCCTTCATCTCTCCCTCCATCCCTCCATCCATGCATGCATCCCTCCCTCCATCCGTTCATCCATGCATGCATGCAAGCAGCAAACATACCTAAAGGTTCATGCATGCATACGGGCAGACAGGCGTACGTACACGGATACTTTTCTGCATGCATGCAAACAAACGAGCATCCATCCATCCATCCATCCATCCATCCATCCATCCATCCATCCATCCATCCATCCATCCATCCATCCATCCATCCATCCATATGCCCTTACTTATTTATGCTTATGCAAGCAATACAAAAGACACAGAATCAGACAATGAAACACATAATTACATAGATAAGCTTATGTGCTGTTGCTCATACTAATGCAAACGTTTTTATTCAACGTAGACATACATACATGCATGTGTATATATATATATATATATATATGTATGTATACACATGGCCGTGTAAATACTGATGCATACATGCGTACATGCATGCAGACAGACGGACAGACAAACAGACAGATACCACACATAAGTACGCACACATATCTCACATACATTTGGAATAACCTCTGAAACCCAAAAATCCTAAACCCTCTCTTGAAGACTGTGAGAGTTTGGCGCGAGGATCGAGTGCGGAGGGCCACCCTTGGGACCCTCGATAGTCACCTGCACAAGAAGTGTCTCGAATAATGTAGGGGCCTTAATAATTAGAACACGGCTTTGGGTGATATTTTACTATAGTTATCACAAGGAACACCCAAAATCGTATTGGTAAATCTTAGGCCCCTATGTTAGGCTTGGCCACTTTGGACTCCGTGTTAGATTCTAAGGGGCTTGGTTGTTCGCCTTGTCAAGACTTTGCGGTCTGTGGATTGATGCTTCGCTCTGGAAAATGCGCAGCTTCCAGGTTACAGCTTGTGGGCTTTGGAATTCCGGACGTTTTTTGGGCGGCAGAAAAAACAAGCAAAGCTCATGAGTTTAGGTGGACCTGGTCCCCGAAAGCCCCGAAACCGTATACGAACAACATCTACACCCAAAGCCTAATGCCCTAAAGCCCTTGACCAGAAACACCTTCAGCCCAAGAAACCCGGAAGACTCAAAGCCCTAGAAGCCTGCAGTCGACATTCAGTCGTAAACAACGAAAGCAACACTTGAGTTACAGGTTTATGGATTACCCTAAACCCTAAACCCTAAACTTGGTACACTTCATTAGGACCCCTAAACCCTAAACCGTGATATGGATTTCGGGTTTGGGGAGTTTGAAGCCGCGGCGTTTGTCTGTTTCATTAGCTCAAAGTGGCGATTATGGGGAGCGGTGCCTCCAATTCGTTCGCTCATGTTACTGGCAGAAAATCTCTATCTCGTTCGAGTTCAAGTTACCGCGAACCCCAGTAATGTTGGAACATGGGTTTAGGAGGATTAGTGCTAGGATTCCCTTTTACTTAGCCTTAAGGGTATGAGGACTAAAACGTTCCAACTTTCTGGCTTCTACTATAGACCATCGTAAATACGCCTGTTTTTGTCAGTGGTGACCCTATCTCCTTCCCCTGGTAGACCGGGTGCCGACCAACCACACACTTACTGCCACCGGTGAACGACGGAAGTATTGTACACTAATGTGAATCCTTAAAGTACCCATGCGGGATAGGATAACGAGCCATACAGGGGGCTAGCCGGCAACAGGGTTCCCCCCCCCGCCCCCCGCCTAGCCTAAACCCTAAACCCTAAACCCTAAACCACAAAACCCTAAACCCCAAAGCGGGCACCTTGTATGGTAATCGGCCCGTCTCTGCAATGTGCCGGACGAAGAGGCCCGTCTTGTTAATGGCATAAGCTCCTGGCAGTCTCTTGAAGAGTTTGGGGTTTAGGGTTTACTCTTGAAGGCGGTCAAGAAAATTCCCAGAGAACCCAATACCCCTTAATTTAGGAATATACCTTAACTTATAGGTGCCTGAAATCATATATTCCTTAATTAAGGGGTATTGGGTTCTCTGGGTTAAGGATCCCCGTCGGAGACCTTCATAACGAGGGTGGCGTATCGTGCTGTTCAGTTCGAGTAAGGAACCCCTCCCCAAAAGGGCATTAGACAGTACTACGTGGAGGATCATGGGATTTAGTAAGTAAGGTTATAACTACCTTCACTGGGGTTATCATTACTTATAAGTATAGTTAGATGGTTTATAACCCTAAACCCTAAACCCTAAACCCTAGTTACTAAATCCCATGATCCTCCAAGTGCTTTCCACGATTGAAAACCGAGTTCTAGGCAGCTCTGCTTAGAGGGGTTGCGAGTAGACCCGCAGCCGGAGAATTCAAGTTAGAGCACGGCAGGACCGGGATTTAGGGTTTAGGGTTTCTTCAACATCATCCCACCCTGAGCTCTCACGACTCATGACTGCTGACCCTAAACCCTCAACCATTGACACCAAAAACCTAGGCCCTGAGCCCCGGCATTCTCAGATTCTCACAAGGGTCCATCGAACCCATAGAAAGCCGTTTAGAGCCCTACCCTAAACCCTCAACCCTAAACTCTAAACCCAGAAATCTTAAAACTGCAAGCCTGCAATGCCCTAAACCCTAAACCCTAAACCCTAAACCCTAAACCCTAAACCCTAAACCCTAAACCAAAGGCACCTTGCCAAAGCTCCGTGCCACTGCCGCAGCCTTCCGAGTACATCGGGAACCTCGGTCTTCTGTTTAGGGTTTAGGGTTTAGGGTTTAGGGTTTAGGGTTTAGGGTTTAGGGTTTAGGGGTTGCGGCTCCCTACTTGGAGGATCATGGGACTTAGCAAGGCTATAACTACCTTAATTGGAGTTATAAGTGCTTTTTGGTATGGCCAGTATAGCTGCCTTATTTATAACCCTACTAGTTACTAAGTCCCATGATCCTCCAAGTGGGTCCATGTATCCAAATAGTATATACTTTGGCCTTAATGGCCCTATATAAGGACTACTTTGAGCCCAAAGTATATACTATTTGGGGACATGGACGTTTCCATTGTAGGAACTACTATTATGGCTAAACCCCCGAACCCTAAACCCCCTAAGCCCTAACCCTAAACCCTAAACCCTAAACCCTAAACCCCTAAACCCCTAAACCCCTAAACCCCTAAACCCCTAAACCCTAAACCCTAAACCCTAAACCCTGTTACTATTATGGCTTGGGTAAGCTCAAGTATCCCACATAGAGGTGCTCCGGACCTCTGGGGTTTAGGCGGTTTAGGGTTTAGGGTTGACAGGTCGGGGACCCAACACCCAACTAGCATAGGCCCTACTTGGTATTTAGGGCTTTGAGGGATTAGGGTTTAGGGTTTAGGGTTTAGAGGGATTGGGGTGTAGGGGCTTTGGGTTTAGAGTTTAGGGTCTAGGGCCCTAGGGCTATGAGTTTAGGATCAGGATGGTTTAGGGTTTGGGGTTGGCATCAGACTGGAAGCCATACATGTAGAACATGAGCTGAGGCTTACTAGTGTTGCTTCTCCCTCCACCTTTGTACCCTAAACCCTAAACCATAAACCCTAAACCCTAAACCCTAAACCCTAAACCCTAATTTTGAGCCCAGACCCTGAAGCTTAAGCCCTGACCCTAAGCCCTAAACATGAAACTGACATTAAGCCCGAAACCCCAAAACCCATAGGCCCCTAAACCCCGAAACCCCTAAATCCTACACCTTGACCCCTAAACCCAAAACCCACGAACCCCGACAAAAACCTAAACCCCAAACCCTAAACCCTAAACCCCTACAAATCCTAAACACTAAACCCTTAACCCTTACACCCTAAACCCTAAACAACAACATCATTTCTCGGACCCAACTAAACCCTAAACCCTAAACCCTAGACCCTAGACTAGACCCTAAACCCTAAACCCTAAACCCTAGACCCTAAACCCTAAACCCTAAACCCTAAACCCTTTTCTCGGACCCAAGGTTCACATGCCACATGGCATGGTAGACATCCAGGATCACGTCCACACCCGCTTGCGCAGCTGTCTGGGCCACCTTCACGTTCTAGCCACGGGGGTTTTCTTAGGGTTTAGGGTTTAGGGTTTAGGGTTTAAGACCTAAAGAGTTTAGGGGTAAAGAATCTGGGATTTAGGGTTTGGGGCTCAGGGATTAGGGTTTCGGGTGAGGGTTAGGGATTAAGGATTTAGAGTGAATCTCGGGCCTATAGGGCTCGCCTTCATCTCTGAGTACTCAGTTAACAACATTCCCTTGTACTCCCTATCGACACCCCAGACATTCCTTGACCCTACATATCGACACCCCAGAAACTAAACCCCAAAGCCCTCAAAACCCTAAACATCCCTAACACCCAAACACAAACCGACACCATCCGAAAACCCCTCAAACAAAAACTGGAGCCTAAGTACCCATAGAGCAAACCCTCTAGGGCCATAACCCTAAACCCAAAACCCCTAAACCCTAAACTCTGAACCTAAACCCTAAACCCCGAAAGCCTGAACCTAAACCCTATTCCATAAAAAATCTAAACCCCAAAACCCCAAAACCCCAAACCCCTAAACCCTGAACACCCCTAAACCCCAAACCCCCCAAACACACCAAAACACCCCCAAACCCCCTAAACACCCCTAAACCCTAAACCCCCCAAAACACCCCTAACCCCTAAACCCTAAACCCCAAACCCCCAAAACACCCCAAAACACCCCCTAAACACCCCTAAACCCCAAACCCCCCAAAACACCCCAAAACACCCCTCAACACCCACAAAACACCCCAAAACACCCCAAAACACCCCCTAAACACCCCTAAACCCTATAGACCCCAAAGGGAGCCGAGCTGCGTGGACGGAGTCTCCAAGGATCGACTCGGAGGCTCCGACGCTGAAGAAGAGCGGGGGCACGTCACCTTCGGGGGTTCCTTTAAAGGGGTGCGGGTTTAGGGTTCCTTTAAGGGTTTAGGGTTCCTTTAAGGGTTTAGGGTTTAGGGTTTAGGGTTTAGGGTTAAGGGTCAAGGTTTAGGGTTTTTTTAACGTGCAA